TGACATATGTTTCACACATTATAGCCCAACAAGTTACTTATAGCAGTTTAAATACGAGCAATCACTTTTTGGCAAATACCGGAAATCAGTTTTTGGCACAACACCCGGGATTTAAAAATAGTTACGCAAAACCGAGCGTGCCCGCTCCGACCGGCTTTAAAGGGTTAAGGACAAGGTCACAGATAATAGCCTTCAACACAACTTTGTTATATATTATATTATGGTTTTTGTGAACTGTCTGCTACATTTCACAGGAGCAAATAATAACCTTCTTTGGTCACATTACAAGAAATTTTAGACTAATGGATGGACAGCCCTGTTATTTGTCCAGGATGTATCCTGCCTCTGGCCCTAACGACTAGGACTGGCTGAAGCACCACTGCAAGCCTGAAATGGATAAGCAGACGGATGGGTGGAAAGACAGACTGATGGATTGCAAGACTGGTGGTGAATGGATGAAAGGCAGATGGATGGACAGATATCTTTTATTCATTTCCTTCTTTGCTTTCTTTGGTCATTTTCCTTTCTTTCCTTTTTCCCTTTATTCTTGTTTCTTTTCTTCCTTTTCTAAATTTCATCACTCCAGTTTCTTCATTTCGCTCCTTCTTTCATTCCTTTCCACTTCTTCTTTTCATTTCTTTTCTGTTCTACTGTTTCTTTCTTTATTCATTTGTTCAGTTATCTTTCATTATTTCTTTCCAGTCTTCTTTCCTTTAGTTCCTTCCTTTTATTTCAACACCCGTTTCTCTATCCTTTCTTCCATTTTTCAGTGTTTATCCTTCAGCATTCGTTTTCCTGCTGCGTCCACATTAGTGAGCAGCATGTGGACTCCTTTCACCACAAACATGAAAGCAACACATAACGAGATGTCTGTCCACTCACACCTTCAGGCGTCCTGATTGGCCAGACACTCAGGAAGCATACCTCTGATTGGTGACGATGTAGCCAAATTCGTCCACCTGACCTGCTGGATCCTTCTTCCCCAGTTTGTCCTGATTGACTGTTGTGGTGGGTGTTGCCTCTTTCTGGACTCCCTCTGGTGTCGGAGGCTTGGCGTTGGAGGGTGGAGCCTCCTGAGGTGACATTTTATAGGCCATTGAGCCCTCTGAGACCTGATAGATGAAGATAAATGAACGCATTTGATTGGAAATAGATAATGAAGGAGTATTTTTGCTTATTTACTTGTTGATTTATGAGATTTATAAACCAATTAATTTAGCTTGAAATTATTGCCTTAGATTATTTTTTCTCTAAATGCAGGTAACATTTTGACCCCTTAAACAAGAAGAGATTAGCTCTGATGTGACAACCAGAGACTGTGAAGCACTGACAGGCAAAATGCACATGACTGTGTTTTTGCTGTATTCTGCACACCTACGACTGATATGTTTATGTTTTTTTTTAATAAACAGATAAACCATCACATTGTTTATGGTGGGAAGCAACGTGTTTACCTTCTTTCCTGTAGCAGCATTGTTCCCGTATTTATCTGAAGAATAAACAAAAATAAAACATGCTGAAGAGACTTTTTTTTTCCAACCCTTTAAATGCATATGGTGGACAGGTTTGTTTATCTGATAGGATCTTTACTTTATTGGAGGTACAAATTTCAAATGTATCCTTCAAAGATCAGCATATCAAATAATGAAAAATTGCTGTTGTTGCCTGTCTGCAGCTTTAAAGAAGGCAGTGACGTTTGTGATGTTAGTGAAGTGAAAATATCGACCTTTGGATTCCTTTTGGGCGTAGGAGCTCTCCAGCTGCAGCTGCTTCAGAGCGGCGGGCAGATCTTCTTTCTGTTCGGGGGACAAGTCCTTCATGTCGAGACCGTAGTGATCGAGCAGCAGAGCCAGCCTCTGCAGTGAACGCTCTACGAATACAGCACAGAGCACTTTAACCACTGAAGGACAAGGCCATCTACGGATAACAGCCTTCAACACAGCTTTACTACTGTGGATTTTTTTAATTTGGTGAACTATCAGTTTTTTCCTCTGGTACATTTCACAAGAGCAAAGTTTTGCCCTTCTTTGGTTACATTATAATAAATGTAAGTTAGATAATGGATAGCCCCGAGACAGCCACGTGATCTGTGCAGGATGTATCCTGCCTCTCGCCCAATAACAACTGAGACAGGCTCTGAACTGGATAAAGAGTTGGAGGGATGGAACAGGAGTATGGATAGCCCAATGAATGGATGAGAAATGAAAAAAATTGTAAAAATTTACAAACATTTCCCTGAAAAAGGAAAAAAAAGAGTAAAAAGTGAGCAGAAAGACACACACGATATTTAAAAAAGGAATACACAAAAAATAAACACGATGGACAAAAGAAATAGTGACTTGTCTTCTTTTCTCGCTCACCATCCAGTTCTGACAGGGCATCGTACTCATCCTGTGCCTTCTTCTCTGCTGGCTCCTGCTGTGCAACCTGGGAAACGTAGTCCTCACCATAGTCCAGAGGGAAGTCCAGCTCCGGGAAAAAGGAGGAAGAAGATGAGGAGGACAGTGAGGATGGGAGGCCAGCTGCTGCTGCTGCTACTGCTCCTCTGTGGCGGGGAAGAGACTGAACAGGTGAGGAAGAGGAAGAAGAAGAGGAGGAAGGGGAAGTGAGGTAAAAGGACACTAGATCCTGGAGGAGCTGCCGGTCTCGGTCCAGAGGACTTCCTCGAGATCTGGAGCGATAGGAGGAGGGATGGAACGGGAGGGCCCGGTTATCATCCAGAGAGTTGAGGGAGCGCTCCTCCTCCTCCTGGTAGCCGTACTGCTGCTGCAACAACACACACACACACAACAGACATGTGCTGCTTTGGCCACTAGGGGGCAGAGAAACACAAAAGTAGAATAACAATGTATTGCTTTCAGAGATGTTCTAGTTTAAACTTGTCCGGCACATCGGGGATTTCGCCCTGCATAATAAAATATTGCAGCAGGGTTTCAGTAAACTATTTTGAAGTGTTTGTCTGAACATTCCTCCCACCTTGTGGTAGGTGTATGGGTCCAGCAGGGGTGTCTGCATGTGGACAGAAGACCGGGAGGGGTTGAGGACCATGTAGTCCACATACTGCTGCATCATCTTGGGGTCAGCTTGATCTTCAGGACCCTGATCCCTCTGTGGACTGGGGCCCAGCAACCTGGAGGACCTAAGAAATAAAACAGGTCAGTCTTGTCTAAGATGCTACCCTCCCATTTTTAATGATAGTAAAGTTCTTCTTACAGTTTGGGTGACTTCTCACTAAGTTTAGAGTGGGTTTCAACGGTGGGAACTTGGCTCAGCTCTCGGCTGATGATTGCCTGGGTCATGTCGTCCTTCCAGTTAAGACCTGTGCAGCCACATGTAGAAATATCACCAAGAGTGACAGCACAAAGAAAAAAACAACTGCAATGAGGGAGCAAAAATTGCTAAAAGAACAAAATGAAACCATTAAAGAACAAAAAGTTATTACACAAAATGTCCAAAAGGTGACTAGAAGATGCAGAATTACTAAAAAGAACCAAAGGATAATCACAGCATAATACAAAATGAAGGCAAAAGGCAAAAATGATGACAAAAAGATCAAACATCCACTTGCAGATGCCAAATTAATACAGATAAAGAAAAAATGTGTAAAAATGACAAAAAATGACTACAACATGACCACAAAAGATACTAAACCACCAGAAAAACAATCTGTAAATATAAAGAGTGACAAGATGAGGAAGGGCAAAATTAGCACAAAAAAAGCCCCAAATGACTTTAAAAATGGCAAAGCTACATGAAATGGACAAAAAAGGACTACAAAAAGAAAAAAAGACCACTTAATGACAAAAAGTGATGACTTTAAGACAAAAATAACCAGAACCGATGGTTCTGGTTATTTTTAGACCAATGCTAATACTGATATGTGGTGATTGCTAAAAACAGATATTTTCCTTCTTTCAAACACATAAACAGAGTTCCCTAACATTTGTTATGCATAGTTATTTATTTACTTATTTATGCGAGACTCTGTGATGTTAACGGGGTATTTGCAGCGTGCCCTATGGTGAACAAAATGACCATTTATTGGCTGTTATAAATGTAGACGTGGATATTTGCAAATACCCAAAATATAGCTATATTATAAGAAATAAAAAAATTAATACTGAGCCAAAAAATTGTTACACATGCAATGATCACGAAGACATAAAAGAGGAAACCATATTCCCCTCTCTGTTTTAGTGCACATGAGCTGAATTAAAAGTGTGCCGCTGTATTCAGAGACTCACCTTGAACCATCAGGTCTTTGAGGACTTCCTGCAGTTTGTGCAGGACGGGTACAGACACCTGATACTGGACGGGTTCCTGATGAGGAGCCTGGCACTGTCCAAACAAACCATCTGCACAGAAAGAAATTCTGCTGTTGCCAAACATGACAGCAACCACAAAACTCCACACATCAACACACCATAAAAATGTATGTGCATTTTTAAAGCAGGAGCCATAAGGTGGTTTGTTTGTCTGTCAGTAAAGATCTACTAAACTGAACTTACTGAAGAGGCAGGGCAATGGAAGAACCCATGAAAAATGAAACCAGCAGTTCTGTAATGTCCGCGTCAGCATGGCTCCAAAAGTCAGTCAATCCCCATAGACTCAATAAATTAATTCAATTCAGCTTTATTTATATACCACCAAATCAGAACAACAGTCTCCTCAATGTTCTTTGGCTTGTAAGGCAAAGACCCTACAATGACACAGATGTAAACCCAGTAATCAGTTGCCCCCCTATGAGCAAGCACTTGGTGACAATGGGAAGGGAAAACTCTGTTATAAAGGAACAGCCAAAAGTAGCTTTACAGCATGGATTAGTGTGAGAGCCAATGTTGGCTGTTTTGCCCAAATATGTTCACTTCTAGCCCTAAAAACCGCTACCATGGTGACTAATATAAAGGTGAAATTTTGTGGGCACCTTCCCGTCACATAGTCCAGTTTGGTACCCATGGACCAGAGGACTGACCTGCTGACCATTAAAAAGAATGTAGGTTTAAGGTACTTCAGCATTGCTTGTCCTTTCACACCCAGAAGCTACATTGGGTTAAACATTCTTTCAATGCTTCAGCATTTTGCAGTTTTCTCACTTCAGATTTCTTAGCTTGTGTTTTTCTCAGCTGGGTTTGTTTTGAGCCCTCAGGGCCACCGTACTTTGCAGTTTAAATGCTGTTTTCTTTCCTTGTAGAAGAAGAATGAGAAGCACAAAAACAAGCAACTGCTCTGAGTTTACCAGGACAGCAGCAGGAGCGTACTGTACGAGTGCTCATCAATAATGTACACTACACATGCTGTATGTAATGCATGTAAACACGAACACAGCACATGCACACACACGTGTACACACAAACACACACTTGGCTTCATACACACACAC